ATTACATACACTGTAGAGACGTAGACTGTAGACTGTAAGACTGTAGACCAGGGGTGGCCAACCTTTGGATCACTATTTTTTTTTCACTGTTTTTTTTTTTTAATTATAGGCAACGTCGTACGTGTTAAGCGATCGTAAGAGAGGTAGCAATTTAAAGCCGAGGATAAGTTTGAATTTCGAATAAACACAGAGAACATCGAACAAGCGGGCGACTAGGAATCGTTACGCGGTCGACGCTTTGGCCACCCCTGCTGTAGACTGTAGACCAGGGGTGTCAAACTCGCGGCCCGAGATGAACATTTTTGACGTCAAGTATCAGGACGTAAACAATAATTTAACTTTATATATGTGTTTATTACAATGTACTAGTCAAAATAAAAATATCTGTTTCTATGAATATCGATTTTTTATTTTGCGACCCACCTAAAGTTGAGCATTGTTTATTTGGCCCAAGTTAGCTTTTGAGTTTGACACCCCTGTAGTAGACTATAGACCAGGAGTGTCAAACTCGCGGCCCGAGATGAACATTTCTGACGTCAAGTATCAGGACGTAAACAATAATTTAACTTTATATATGTGTTTATTACAATGTACTAGTCAAAATAAAAATATTTGTTTCTATGAACATTGATTTCTTTTCTTTTTGCGGCACGAGATGAACATTTCTGACGTCAAGTAACAGGACGTAAACAATAATTTAACTTTATATATATGTTTATTACAATGTACTAGTCAAAATAAAATATTTGTTTCTATGAACATTGATTTCTTTTTTTTTTGCGGCCCACCTAAAGTTAAGCATTGTTTATTTGGCCCAAGTTAGCTTTCGAGTTTGACACCCCTGGCTGTAGACGCTAGGCTCTAGGCCCCTAACGCTCTAAAAATGAACCGTAAAACGGGGAGGATCTCTCGGGCATTCCCTCTGATTAATCGCAGGTACGCGGACGTATTGACTCGACGAAGACAAAGTATATTGCTCATAGGAAGAAGCAGGCGCGTCGTTTTTTTTGTGAGATTTACCCGCCTACTTTTGTCGTGGCTAAGCTAAAATGACGCACGTTCTACAAATGTTACATCGTTACAATATATCATGGTAGTATGCGCCCCGATATACCGGAATAATTCAGGGCTATGTGTCTCTACGCGTCGCATAGTAATTGTAGATCACGATATAAAATCTACCGGTTACACAACAGTCAACAATTAATGTGTTTTTTTTTCCTTTTTCGTGACAACATTGAGTAAAGAACGCGTTTTCGCTTCCTTGCCTTTGTTGTTCGTCCGAAAAACGGATCACGGACGCTTCGCCGATCCCGTACGGTTTTCAGAGAGTTACATATTACATGTATATACATAGACATATACGTATATGTATATATACATATATGTATATGTACCGTTTCTCGTGTCTCTATAGTTTCTCAGTTCGCCGTTCCTCGCTTTTCCGTGTCTTCGATTACACACGTTATCGTTTTTGTTCGCCGTTCGAAAATTGGTCGACACCAGACAGCGATAAGTACATAAAGAGAAGAGGGACGGGCAAAAATCCGGAATCACCCCCGCATCATATTATCGTTATATTGTATTGACTTTGATTCACGAGCTACGCGTCGCGTTTTTTAAGGGCACCCAACAATTGATCGTAGGTTTCTATTAACCGTAATGTCAGTCTAAATCTAAATCGTAAACGCTACTCTGTGTAGTACCTATACATAATAATAAATACGATACGGTACGATACAATCGAATACAATCGGATACGTTTACGTATTACAATACAATGTAACGTAATGTAATTGAAATCGTTTTACAATTATATTCACGGCAACACCATCATTGTCGCCACGCAGGTATGTATTACTATTTTGCACCAATTTCCGAACATTCATCGAAACACGGTTCCATCGAACGACCGATAATATTTATATATATATATATAATCATATATATTATATAACGTGTGGTGAACAAAAATCGATTTCGGGCGAAAATATTTAGAAACAACGGACGAAGAGCAAAAGACATCAAGAAAATCGAACTAAAGGCTAGATGTTATTGCGAGAAAAAATTAACTTCGCAATAACAATGTAATGTAATGTAATGTAATGCAATGATGTAATATAATGTAACGCAATGTAATGATGTAATATAATGTAACGTAATGTAATGATGTAATATAATGTAATGTAACTTACTATAATGTAATGCAATGTAACAGTAATCTAATGTAATGTAACGTATTGTAATGTAATGTAATGTAACGTAATGTAATGTAATGTAATATAATCTTATGTAATGTAACGTAATGTAACGTAACGTAACGTATCGTAACGCAATGCAATGTAATGCAATGTAACGTAATTTAATGTAACATAATTTACTAGAATGTAATAGAATAGAGAATAATATGTATAATATAGAATAATACGGATAAAATACAAGTAAGCATACACATGGCAAGAAGCGTGCTGATGTACATACATATATTTATGTACTTGCTAGGCACACGCAACTCGAACGTGTTAGCACGCTTTCCGTCTGCGCGATCCTTCCGATCGGATGATCTCTTTGTTCCGAATCGCGTTGTTTCGCTCGAATCAACGTACAACGTAGTTCGATGGTAACTGATTTAACGATTTTGATCCCGCGACATCGGACGTATTCGTATGTTTTTTTTTCGACTCTCGGACAGAAGAAGGAGAATTTGGCTCGAGAAGATCGCGCCCTAATAAGCTTCTTCGTGGCATCATTAACCGTGTTCGAATCCGAACGGATCTTTTTAAGGAACGTGCAACGTAGGCGCCGCTGTAGATACTTTCATCGAATAAGGCTGCGTGAATTATTGTCTTTTTCGTTACCGTTCGTTTTCGTTCAATACGCGTGTCTCCGTGGCGGACCGTTTCTCGAACCGGTTTCGTTTACCAATTCGAAACCGGCGCTGCTATTTCTTTGGTCGTATTTGCGTGCCTTTTTGCACCCTAATTTCATTACGCTACACCCCATATTTACCCTCTTTTTCTTTCCTTCCTTCTTTTCTTTCATGCTTCCCTTTCCTCCTTCGATTATTATCTTTTCTAACAAATGTTCGTACGATGGAACTATGTAGACGGCGATCGAGATATCTTTGCTTTTTTTTTCCTTTTTTTTGATCGTTTTCATTGTTCCAGCGATCATCATTGTTTCGACGAAGAGAAAAGAAAAGAAAAGGAAAAAACGAGATAGACACGACAGATTCGAAATCTCTACAAAGGTACACGTGTGTGTGTGTCTGTGTGTCGTGTACAAGATTGGTCGATCGCTCGAACGGTTTTCAACCCTTTCAGTGCCGGGCGAAAAAGAGGCGCTTATACGAATATAACCGGCCGAATTTTACGATTTTACTAGGATTTAGAAAAAGCTTCGTAAAAACCAAATGAAAAGCAAAATATTTACATGATTCAAAAAACAGCGTACCAAGGACAAAATAGAGAATAAAACGGCGACGTTAATTTTTCTCTCGCAATGAAGTTAGACTATTTATAACGCATTTATTTATTTATAACGCTACAAGGTGCGGGCCGATATATCGGCTCTGGCACATTTCGCCGGTGCATCGAGGGCCGATATATCGGCCTCCGGCACTGAAAGGGTTGATCGAGTCGCGAGTCGCGTCGTGTCCGTGTCACGCGTCGCTTCGATATTCCCGGTCGTCGTGCGAACATCGATTATTTACATCGAAAAAACGGTCGTACTCGACTCAAAAAAAAAATAGTAAAACGTCCAAGTTGGCTAGGTGAAACGCGCGAAACACAGGAGATTCACGGAGATCGATGGAGGACGTGTGCCACGCGATTGTATAAAACTTGTAGCCATGGGGCCATGGCTGCGGCTGTGCCCTGTAGCTGTGGCTATAAACGAGCTAGCTCTCTCTACGAGGCTACGAGAATTTCGTTGGTACGGAACCACAGAGCGTGGTATCGTCGACGCGTTTAGCAAAAATCTCTCTCCGGCTCGAATCGATACATCAGGGGGGCCGGAAAGTTGTGTCGTTTGTTTACATTAAATTCAAACAGATAAATATGCGCAGAAACGACGTTACTTTCCGGCCCCCCTGATACATATAATTTTCGCAAATTTCTCTTTATCACGATCGTCTCGCGCGTGGTTCGGCCACGGCTATTCGTCGCAGACTGTTCGATCGGGTTCGAGTGCCTCTATTTTCTATAATAATTACCGCTATCGATTTCTAGGCTGATTATACTATGCGACGATTCGCTCGTTCGCAATTCGTTAATACTGATTAATGTATTGTCCGTTTACGTGGTGTACGAAAAAACATGCAAACGCGCTAACGCAGCTGGACCACAAGTGCCCCAGCCCTACGACTTTCTTTTCATTCGTTTCTTCTTTCTTTCTTTCTTTCTTCGTGGTGTTCCGCGGTGTTTCTTATCGGAAGAATCGAGATAACGTCGCGCGACAACCAAGCGCAGAGGAAAACGTCTTCGTAAACAAATAATTAGACATTTAGCTCCGTTTTCGTTTCACGTGTCGACAGCATAGATTAGCGGACACCGATTTTATTGGAAGTAATAGGCGATTGGATGGGGGGGGGAGGGGATTAGTGTACGTATAAAACGCGTTGCTCGAGCTTTTGTTCCGTCGGAGTGAAGGGTAAAGGGCGCGCGATATCTTTCTTCTCCTCGCTTTCTTTCCTCCTCCTCCTCCTCCTCCTCCACCTAATCCTCCTTCTCGTTTGCGAAGGTACAACGCAAAGTGAAACGGCAAAGAGAAAAGGAAAGAGAGACCACGTGTGTATGCGAGAGAGCGAGAGAGAGCGAGAGAGAGAGAGAGAGAGAGAGAAAAAGATAAGGCCAACCACAAACAAATATTGCTCCGAGAAAGATGTACAGTGGCCCACAAAAGTGTTCGTACACCTTTTAAAACGTAATAACTTCTTCGAAACTGCACCAAGTGTCTTGAATTTTTTTTGAGACGATAGCGGGACTATATTTTTTTAAATTTTGCTACCATTTGGAATGACAAAAGAAAGCTCTCGTTCTTTAACTTTTTTCAACGCCTGTAGTTCGACTCCGGGTTAACCGATTTCGATCGAATTTTGCAGCGCTCGTACAAGTTACCGAGATCTGCGAAAGGCATTCTTCTTAAATTTTCGCTATAAAACGAGAGTTTATTATTTTTCTTGTCATCCCAGGCAATAGTAAAATTGAAAAGGGGCATTTTGGTCGTTGTCTAGTACACTAGTCCCGCTATCATCTGAAAAAAAAGAAATTCAAGTCACTCAATTCAGTTTTAAAAAAGTTATTACGTTTTAGAAGGCGTGCGAACGCTTTCGCGAGCCATTTGTAGACACTTTAGCCGCGCATGTGTTTCAATTCCATGGCAAAATGGAACGTACGTCGAACACGCGTTCGAGAGGAAGAGAGACGGAGGAGAAGACGGGAGGAAGTAGAATGGAGAAAAAGAAGAGAGACGATCGCGGGAGCATCGTCGTTGCGCGCGTTTCTTCAACGACCCCGTGTCGTGGTTGTTTCTCTAACGGATAATATAGGCACGCGGCGTCGTAGCGCAATGGAACGCGATGCAACAGGTATATGAGGTTGTTGCAAAGTGCATTTCGTTTCTGCGGGCTGCGTTCCCTTAGAACGAGCTGAAGCATACAGGCGGATTCATTTCGCCGAAGACGTTCAATTCGTAGAGCGAGGCGAATATAATAAATACTAAATACCAGAGCATCAGTACAACTCCGTATCGTCGGTCCAGCTTCCAGCCGTTCAAATGGGTCGCCAGCACCAAAAACACCACCGTCGACAGCAGGGACACCGTGGAGTACGTTAAGCCTGCGGATCGTGTTCACAAAAAACAGATGATTTGTCCGATTCGAGAGGACTCACAGCGGCGCGGATCCACGAAAACACGAACCAAATGAACAGTTTTACATCTTACATTGCAAGTGAAACAGTTTTAAAATACAGGGTCCCATTTAAAAATATTAATTTGTCATGGTACGAAGATAGACAATTTTTATATATATATATATAATATAAAATAATATATATATATATAATTCATTATTTCAAGGTAATTTAGCCCTTTGCACTCGAGACTATATTAACTCGAAGCTGAAGACATTTGTTTCAACCTGCAATATCTCCACTTGTTACGATTGTTTTTATTTGACACACGTGAAATTGAATGTGCACGATTATAGAACGCTTCTATTATTTATCAATTTATCGAATAATTTAATAATAAAATAAATTTAATAACGCGAAGATATATATATATATATATATTCTTTTGAAAACAGCGTAGCAATTTTTAGCGTTGCCTCAGATTCGGTCAGTTTGAAAATCAGACTTTAATTCGTGTTTTCGTGGATCCGTACCGCTGTGCGACGGGTTGCCATGCGGCAGGGGGGGTGGGAAGGAGAGTCGGCGGGGTAAAAGAAGGCGCGGGGACGGACGACGGGAGTGTCTTACCTCGACTGGTAACGTTCACGTGGGAGCCGGGTTGTATCATTGCGGTCTGTATAAACCACGGAAGCCCAAGGCAAACTAGAATATCGAAGACGTTGCTACCAACCGCGTTGCTGACCGCCATGTCGCCGAGGCCTTCTTTGATCACCGCCAACGAGGACAGCGCGTCCGGTACGCTGACGCCCGCAGCGACGAATGTCAGGCCCATCACGGTGTCCGGTATACCGAGGGTGCTGCCTGTCGAACGAAATCGAAGGGAACCGTTGTTGACGCGGCGAACATATCATCGAGCGGACGCCGTTCGAACGATGGGGCGCTCACCAATTATCGTGATCATCCACACCATGATGTAGCTGTAGAAACTGATCCATACCATGGACACGCAGAATGTGAACGGATACCAGTTTCGAAACTTCTCTTGCCGGCAGTCGGGCATCGTCGCGCGACACATGAAATGGATCGGGTACACGAGGCCCCAAGTGAACAGAGTCCATTGGCTGGCGTCGACGGGCCTCTCCAACGGCGAGACCTCGTTCGGGTCGGGTTCTTTCGCCTTGTAATACTCCGGTTGTTTCGTGACCGGTGGCTGGTTTGTCTCCGGAACTGGCCCGCCCCCTTCCATCCCCCCTGTCGACAAAACAACCCCATTGTTTCTTTCGGTTCGGACAAAAATGGACACGATTAATCGCGAGCCTTGCACCTCGTGTTTATAATTGTTCATCGAATGATCGTATCTCCTATAATATAGAATAAATAATTATTTAATTTTCGTTCGCAAGCTGAGCGTCGACTGGGGCGTTAATTACGGCGTCGATTGGGGAGGACTTGCTGTGCCACCGCCGCAGGACTTACTTACCTTCCTGAGATTTGTATTGATCGGTGACGGGCGAGTTCGGACCCGTGTAAGACAGCCGATCCTCCTGCAACGATCTGTAACTGACCAGCGCGCTCTCCTCCGCCGGCTCGTCGTCTTTCGGTAGAAACGGTATATTGTAAGACTTGGCCCATCGTTCCAATCGGGAGTTGAACGCCAACGCGATGCAGTACACGCCGTACATTATCAGCATGAACAACGATTCCATCCTGAAGACAAATGTAATTGTACAATTATCAATTTGGGGCGGAGTCATAGGTTATTATTATTATTATTATTATTATTATTATTATGGTAGATTATTATTATTACTATTATATTATATACTATTATATTATTATATATTATATTAATTACTATTATATTATTATATATTATATTAATTACTATTATTATGCGCACAAAGATACAATTGTTCCAGCCTCGCGGCTCGAATAATCATATCTACTCTTCTCAGATTGTCTAGTCTTGTGCGCAATCCGAGCGCGAATTAGGGAGAAATTACTGTCAAATCTGAGCGTCGATTAGGGAGAATTTACGGGACGTGAAACCCGACGAAGTCCGAACAGGGAAAACTGTCTTACCAGGATATCGATTCATTGTAAATCGTGCCGAGCATCACCAGTATCGATACGGCGTAGAAGAAGCAGTCCCGGCACAAGGGCCACCAATTCAATTTGGACACCGTGCTGGTGCAGAGTCCGCAGACCGAGATCACGAACATTATGTTGAACACGGCGCTTCCGATCACGCCGCTCACCTGTGAAATCGGTAACGCGTTACCGGTTTGCGAGCACGGTAAGCGAGGAAAGGATGCGCGAGGATCGTTGTCTCCTTACCCCGATGTCGTCCTTCGCGAAGAAAACGCCGATCACGACGGTCGCCAGTTCGGGTGCCGACGAGCCAGCTGCCATAAAAGTTGCACCGGCGACGTCCGGCGACAAGCGCAGCTCTGCCAACAAAAATAATTATTACATATATATTATAATATATATATATATATAATATAATATAATATATATATATATATATATTATATTATATAAGTATTACACATAACATAATTTATTATACATATATATTCATTAGAATAAAATTTATTATATATAATTTTATTGATCGAATCGTAATTTCCGTTCGTTTGTAATTTGTCACTTCGTTTCGAACAAAATTTGCACTGAGATTTCCCGTCACGAGAATTCGTCATTCGGGATCGTTGTGATTCGGCATCGTTCCGACGCTGCGTCGCTTTCGACGGGGTCTCACCTTCGCAAATCCTATCCAAACTGGAGACGAAGTAGTCGTCGCAGACGATAGCGAGACCGAGGAACGTGTAAACAGCGACCAGTACGTGTATGATCAATCCACCGTGTTTCCTGGCGCTCGGCCCCATCAACGGCCTCGGAAACTGTTCGATGGCTGGCGGCGAACAGTTTTCCCGTCGCGGCCTCCATGTCGCGCGTTCGTACTTCAACGTGGTCACCACGGTCGGGGCCTAAAATCACGAGTACGTTTCCCACATCGTGTTGAACAGTGTCGCGAGCACGATCATACGAACAGTAGTACATACGTATCGTACATTGCAATCGTTGCACTGCGGATGTTTATGCGAATACGTTGTAATGCATACGTTTACAGGAAAGAGACAGATTTACGGGAGTTAGAAATTGATTTCGCCGTTAGGGGGTTGTGAAAGGCACGAGTTGACAGACTAGAATAGTCTATAGCAGTAGCAGCAGTAGTAAGTAGCAGTAAATATCGCAGGTAATTCATGTTCTTGAATATACTCTGCATTAATTTTGCATATATATTATTTATATATTATTATATATTATTATTATATATTTATATATTATTTATATTATAACATATATATTATATAATAATATAGCATATATATTATACAATAATATAGCATATATATTATATAATAATATAGCATATATATTATACAATAATATAGCATATATATTATATAATAATATAACATATATATTATATAATAATATAACATATATATTAACCTTGCATATTTCGACGCATAAATTTTCCATAAACATCCGCGGTCCAGTGTCGATAGACGCGCGCGGACAAATCTGCCTTACCGTCGTGGATTTCGGGAGAATGTTAGGCACGACGGCTTTCGCGGTGCCTTTTCCCTGCGACTGCGACTGCGAATGCGATTTTCCGTGTGCCGTCTTCTTCGACTTGTCCTCCGACGCGTTCTCATCCTTCCGTTCCACCGGCGTGTTTCCGCCCCGCGATTCGTTGGCTTTCCCCTTTTCCTTCTCGTTCTTTCCCCGCGAATTCGAGGATTTCTCCGGCATCAGCGGCGGCTTCTCCACGGTCTTCTTCGTTCCTTCGACGGCCGGCCCTTCCGTTTCCAGAGTGCTGGCCTCTAGCGTGGTCTCCTCGGTCCAGCTTTCGTCGCGGTCCGTCCAACCGGTAGGGAGGGTGGAAGGCGCCGGTTCTTCGGTGGGCGTCCTCGCAGACGCGACGTACTGCGCGAGGACGTAGACGAAGAGGAGGCCGAAACGCAGCGACCATCTTCTGCGTCGGGAAATGCTTTGCGGCTGGTGGTTCCTCATCGTTCTCGGCTGAAACAGTTCTTTTTGTAATTTCGTATAAGCTGCTTGACTTTTATCAAAAATACAAATGTATGTATATATAACACAAAACGAAAGAAACAGACGAAACAGTATTATTCTTATTCATTAAATTATATACTATTCTAAATAATATATTCTAAATAATAATATATTCTGAATAAATAATTATATACTATCCTTATTTATTAAATTGTAATTATATTATTATTATATTGTGTGAAATTCGCAGTATTTTTATCTATCGTTATTTTCATTTAATGTAACCTTAATTTAATAAATCTCTTCCTCGTCGCAACTCGGCACGATCGAACGAGAACGGTTTTTCGATCGAACGATATCACCTTCGCTTCCCGAACCTTTTTCTTCATTCAGATTTTTTGCACCTTCTGTCCTCTTCAAAAAATCTTTCGTTTCGGTTCGTTCGCTGTTTTTTACAAGGTCATCGTCCGTTTCGAATTTTCGACTTCTTTCAACGGAAGCGTATACACTTATACAGCCTCAATTATAACAATTATATTTTCATGTAAAGGCACTATAAGTTCACCGTCGTTCCATCTCGTTATTATTTCAAGGTAATTCAGTTTTTAAATATGCTACAAAGAAATCGTGCTATCCGGTGCTAGACAGAAGTACAGTGCCGTACAAAGCTTTCCAAAATTCATCGTATCATTGCGAAACCGTGCTATATAGGATGCCGTGTCGCAGGAGGGCAGCCTGTACTCGATTGCACGCGTATTACGCGTAGTACAGAAACCGTCTGCTCTTCGACCGGTCGCGATCGTGTCCCGATTACGTAAATTTCATTGACACCCGCGCGCGCGACGATACCGCACAACGGCTTTCGTATGCACGTACATAGTTTCCTTGACGCTGTGCGAGCCACTGCGGGCATCAAAATGTTTTCTCCTGATATACGCGCGGTATCGATTCGAACGAATATAATACACGCGTCGAAAAGAGAGACACACGCAACGCCGCCGCCACCGCCGCCGCTGTCGCCGGTCGCGTATTACGCGTTCACGTACGACGCGTCCGCACGCACACGCGCACGCATTCGCGTTACGGTCGCGGAGCATTAACTGGCTGGAAAGCGACGCTGTCGGCCCCCGTCGCCGCGCGCCCCAAACGCATTCGCATGTTCCGGCCGATTCGGCGAATTCCACCTACTTTCGGAGCATTTCTGGATCACGTGTACACGACACGATACAGGATATGCTTCCGAACGATAACCGTAGCCTCCTCGTAGCCGGGCAATCTCGGGCAGGTAACAAAGCCTCCTTAAAATAAATCATCGATCGGAACGGATAAGCATCTTCGCTCAACCTTTCTCGCGCGATTCTTCTAAATTCGCGGCTGATGGATCGATTCGAGGACCGAGTACATACATACACACATGCACACGATTGCCCGTAATAATAAGTTTCGCGACGCAACGGAGGAAATCGAGGCTCGCTCGCCGGGCAAAAAAGACGGCTTCCAGGCGTTTAGGCCCAGCATGCGTGCGATAAATGTGAGCCGAGGAGCGGCGAGAATTGCGAGCGGGCGCGCGTGCGAATTCGGAGGCTCGTAAAAATTGAGTCGACGTCGAAACTGACCCAGTTCGGTGTTCGCGGGCCGATCGTTAAACGATACCGTGCCGACGCACCGAAAACCTTCCGTCTCGCCCCGTTTTCAGGAATATTTCGTTTTCGTATCGACGCGCGGAGCTTGGTAAGGAGAGCACGACGAACTTACGTCGACGACGGACAACGAACGTCCAACGATAGCCGGGCAACGAATAATCGTCGTACCTCAGCTTTTCGTTCTCGCCGCCGCGTTGGACCGCGAGAGCAAAACTATTTCGTCAGAATGTCGTATTCCGGTCGCCGTCGTGGCCGCCATTCGACGACGGACAACAGAGCCGGTCCCCGAATGCTTTTGGGAAATTTGATCGGCGCCGCGCTCGCGAATTATTGATTTGCATATAAAAGCTGCGGGGGTTACGGGCGGCGATGCGTTGACGGCGTGGCGTGGCGGCACTTAGGGTACACGTAAGCTTATGCGTAGACGGACACGTAGCCAAAGTGTTTTTTTCGGTCGCATAGGGTATGTAGGGTGGTCGTGGGTCGGCAAGACGTAGGGCGAAGGGCGAAAACGCGTAAGGCACGCAAGACTCTCTCTCTCTCTCTTTCTTTCTCTGACCGGACGAGTCCCACTCACCGATTTCGTTCCTGCCGTCATTGTTGCACCGATATTTCAACTCGGCAGGGTCCTAAGATTCCTCGTGGTGTTCCGGATATTCTCACATCCCTCGCTTTCCTCTAAACCCTTCCGAGAGCAGAGATCCGAGAGCCACAGACTCGAGAGCCGACTGCTTCCGCTCTCCCCGCGGTCGATATATCCCGTTGGCTAGGCTTCGGGCACGTTCGCGCGGAACCACGGTTCTCGACGATGTTACGACTCCAATCCAAGAAACGGCACGCCGTTTATCGCCCGTCTCCCGATTACGAGGACGGCGTTCGGTACGCTTACGCAGTGTCTATGAATCAACCACCACCACCCCCGCCGATCGTCCCTCTTCTCTTCCCTGCTCCTCCCTTTCCCGTCGCTGCTGCCTCGACTCGACAACCCTCTGATGTCACTAATATCGCACGGATACGCGTGCGCTCGGCTTTAAAAACGCCGCGGCAAGCCTTCTTCTACGTGCGCTCTCCTTCTTCTCTCGTGTTTTTGCTTGCCACGTATCCATCGTAGAGATCCGACGAACCTCGTTAATCGTAATCATAATCGCGGGCTTGGAGCAATAATTGGGAACCGCGTGGACGCAGACGTCGGCGAGAACATAAAAGGCGGCGGTTCGAAAATCAAAATAACAACACCGCAAAAGAAACTCGTCGTTTATTGTCGGCTGTGTAGTACGAAATATTCGGGTTTCTTATCCCACCTGAGTTCTAAGTAACTTTTTGCGACCTTTCTTTTTTTACTATACACAGCTCGAAAGGCGAAAAGTTCGCAAAAATGTTACGTTAAAAAAAAAATTATTACGTTTAATAAGATAGTTTTATTTGAAACATAAAGAACTAGTTTTTCTATTCGAATAATGTAACACGTTTCCTGCTACACGACCCAATATTTAATTCGCATGGAATAATAGTTACCGCTAATAACTTAACACGACGCTGATAATTCTTATAGCAGGTGTTCGGATATTTCTAAATACAAGGAATAAGTCTTCGAACGTTTGACGAGTTTATTGCGAGAAGAAGCACAGCGTTTGAATAAAGTTTACACATTAAATATTTATAAATAATGTGCGACTTATAGAAATCTCAAACTCGGGAAACGTCGCTGTATTAACTAGCGTTTCTATTGAATTTGACGGAATAACTGTCGCTGTTCGGGTCTTTCTGCAGCTCGAAATTATTCGTGGAAAGACCGAAAGGTTTCAAGACCATGTTCCCAAAGTCTTTCAATTTGCCCAGCATTTCTGCCTTTAGTTTCGCGTTTCGTTCCTCCACCAGCTGCGTCAATTGCTGCAAAAGTACGAATAAATTTATTAATGTGTCGCTCGAACAACGTGCGCGCATATATAGTTTGTACACGATTAAGGTTATTTTTTATCGGATATACTTACGCGAACCTCGTTTTCCCACTCCGCGTTCTCAGGATGCAAACTATTCAATTGTTTGTATTCCCTCAAGGCGTCGTCCAGCTTATCCGTCTCCTTGTACAATTGTCCTCTCCTGATCATAGCTTTCTCGTAGGTCGGATTCAATTCTAGGGCTTTGGTACAATCTGCTATCGCCGATTCCTTGTCCTAAACGATCAACAGATTACAGAGTGTATAAAGTACCGAGAAGGCATTTATTAATCTATTCTATGATCAAACATGCCGATAAAAATATCTTTCACGTAACAATGTTACCATATATTTAGCCTTGGCTGCTCCTCTGTTCGCATAGAGCACAGCTCTATCGTTGCTGTAAGCCAATGGACATGCCTGCAATGCCTTTGTGTATGTCAGTATTGCCTCCAAATATTCTTCGTTTTTAAAGAGTTCGTTTCCCTCGTTTTTCAACTTCTCCGCTTCGTTTTTGAGGGACTGAAACAAGCGAAAGATTAGCAGCGATCGATAATGTAGAGACACCCGACCGATTACCAAACGCAATACGGTCGAATGGAATGAAATTCAAGCAAGAGATATGCAACAAACTTCTTTCTCATCTTCGGTAAGACCGATTTCACGGTCTTTCAGTAACTCCTCGTCGACGAAATCTATCGGCGAATCTGCAGATTCGCTCGGTTGAGCTTGGGATTTACAGCTGTCTTCGTTCTTGACGTTCGTCTCTTCCACGTGCGCACCAACTTCAGTCGGCGCATCGCCATTGCTGGCGTCCGACTTCGCACTCGTTGGCTCGGTCGACGTGCAGTTCTCGTCTGCTTGTAGACACGAACTTTCCAGGTCTTTCGTGAGCTCCTCTATAATCTCCTCGTTGGATTTCAACCCAGTCTCCGTACCGTTGCTCATTCTGATAATTTTCTAAAAAATTTCCAAGCGTTTCGAATTTTTTTCTTTTTTTATCTCGACTCGACGAATTTACGACCGATTCTCCGGATCAGCAATATTAACGTCAACGATGCGTATCCATCAACTAACACACAGGTCCAACAGCCTTTATCCGTTCACTCGGACGACTACTACAGCGAACGACAATGGACGACTATGAGAAATATGTTTCTACAGGCTACGAGTCGCCGTAGCGTTCGTCGACATCTTGTAGGTTATCGACTGTCAAAAATGTGTACACACGATGCGTGAACCGTTTCTTGGCGAGCCCACCAGGAACCGGCTGGAAATTCAAACGAAACGTGGACTTCGACCTGTTACACCTCGATCCTACCCATACCTTTTTTTTCAACACCGCGTTACTTCGTAGTCCGTTGTGATCTATAGATGTTTACGCAAAGGATCTCTTCTGCAATAAGAACGAAAGACGCTTTCCTCACTTGCGCTTGAGTCACCGCGATTCAGTCGCCACCTAGTCAAAACACGAATTAGAGAAAATTCGCGACGACGGCGGCGCCATCTATACGGTGGCGAATTTTCGTATCCTTGCAACGGGTAGGACAAGGACAGAGATAGCGCGTGACAAAGTCAGGAAATGTTTCCCTTGATCGCCTATTTTTTTGAGGAAGCTCGAATGCCTTGGTATTTATTCCAAGTGAAAGCAAAAATAAAAATAACTCTTCATTTCGACTCGGCTTGTCAAAGTCGACGCGTCAAAAGAATCGAAAGAATGAAAAGAATGTCCGGAAAATGCCTCCTAATCCGGAAATGGAGGGTTCCTGAGGGCATTTGGAGCAGCTTTTCCCTTAGCGGAAGTGCAATTCGCGATTTTTCTTTTCGAGTTATTAACGAAAAACAATGACGAAAGATAAGCGAACTCGACTGGCGCGAAGCGGATCAATCAGCTGATTTCGGCTCTTATTAGCCACTGTTTTTCGTTAATAACTCGTAAACGAAGCCTCGGATTGCGTTTCCGGTAAGGGAAAAATTACTTCGAATGACCTCAGGAGCCCTCTATTTCCGGAATGCGAAAAATTTTTAGGACATCCGGAACGACCCGTAGAATGTAGATATCCTGAGGGCGAATTCGAAATAAAAAGGAAAGTCTATCAAACTTTTTGTGTATTTTCAATTCTGATTAAATTCAGAGTCTATATATGGTTCTTTCACTAAAATCCTTCCGAGGTCATACTCATCGTTGCGATTAACGGGCAACATATACATTTAACCCGGAATGAAGTAATTTCTGGAGTCACTTGAAGTAACTTCTTCCTTAACGAAAATGTCACCTTAATGACCAATGGGAGATGCGCTCAGCTGGCGTAAGGTAGCCGAGAAAACGAACGTTACGGAACACATACAACAATTTTGCTGAAAAGTTAAAGCACGCTTTTGGAGCGTGCAGTTATTTTTGTAATCATTTATAATAATTATAACTTTTTTTAGCAATGCGGAGTAAGAAGTACAATACCGTTTTTCTATAACTTTTTATTCATAACAGATATTGGCACATGGTTTGCTCACAATAAAATACAAATGTTATGCGACACACAGGTTTGAAGAATCATAAAAGATTATATTCGAAATATCTAATATATTATTGTTATTACATCATTTGTCTAAGTTCTCAATTAGTTTTGTGAGTACTTTCCTCTTCTCGCAGTCTTTCCATAGCTTTCCCCTCTTTGCATCCCTCTTTCAATTCCTCTCTACCATCTTCCAACTCCTCCTCCTTTCTCTTTTCTTTCTCTATTAATGCTATCAAACAGTTTGCATTTGCTGCTTTACAGAGCTTCGTGAGAGTATACGATACAGATATGTCAAATGGAGTTTCCAATCTGGCAAGCCAAATAATCCTTCCCTGTCTGCCAATATTTTATGCAAATATCCTTTGTTTATCAAGGATTTGTTCCTCTGGTTTCTCAATTTCTCCAAATTTTGGATATGGCGTCATCAAATTAGCTATGACGTCTGAAACAAGAGAAGATTAGCAGCGATTGTTCATGGAAAGACCCATTACCAAATGTAACATGCAACAAACTTCTTCTACATTTTCCATAAGGGCAATTTTTCTGTCTCTTAGTAACTCCACGTCTAGGAAATCCCTTGGAGAATCCGTATCTGGGTCATACAGTGCTCGAGTTTTACAGCTGTCTTCGTTCTTGACATTCGCGTCAGCTTTTACATTTGGCTTAGTCTACGTCTGCTCGAAAACACGAACTTTCCAGGTCATTCGTAAGCTTTCTCTATAATCTCCTCATAAAATTTCAACCAAGGCTTGGTTTTTCATTCTGATAATGATATCAAATATTTTCAAGCTCTCCAAATGCTTCTGTCTCGACTCAAGGATTTTACGATTTTCTTCAATCAGATAGCGTCGGTTTTTGCATATCCATCAACTAACAGTGTCAATTGTTTCTATCTATTCACTTGTATGCTAGACGAATAGCATTAGACGATGATATTTTTTAGGTTATCGACTGTCGAATGTCTGCATACACGATTTCTTGGCGAATCCATCGGGAACCTGCTGGAAATTGAAAACGAAACATGAGAACGAAACATGAAAACGGAATATGACGTGGATCTGTTTGTTACTTTTCGATTCTATGCATACCTTTTTCGATGTTTTTAGCAGAAAAATCAAACATTTTTTTCCTCACTTGCGCTGAGTCATCGCGACGCAGTCGCCACCTAATCAAAACATGAATCCACTATTAGAGAAAATTTAGGTTAATGGCGCCATCTATGGTGGCGAATTGTCAAATTAATTTCCATATCCTTGCAACGAGTAAGACAAAGACAGAGATAACGCATAAGAATTCTTACCTCCCTGTACTATTTGTATTGTGATGCTATTATCCATATATTTGATGACTCTTCTATCCACTATTCCATAGTTTTTCCCTCTTTGCCTTCTTCTTTATCTTCTTCCACTCCTCTTCTCTCTCGCCTTTTTCTAAAATTGCTGTACTCTTTCTTCCTTTCTTCTTCTCTCTCATTTTGAGAGTTTCTTCTCACTTTCAAGTTAACTTAAACCAGTTGCTAATTGTATCAGAAAATGCGAGGATGTATCTTGAATGGCTTTGTCCGGCTTGTGATTGACCTGTACTACTGAAAATTCGACAATTTTCGAAAGATCAAGAGAATAATCTTCGAGGAGGTATCCCGAAATTCCTTGTCTAGCTTTTGATTCAATTTGTACTACTGAAATTGCGAAAAATCTCGAGTATCGAGTGAAAATGATAATCTTCGAGGAGGTAGCTCGAACTTCTTTGTCTGCTATGATTGACTCGTACTACTGAAATTTCGACGAACCGAGACATACCTCCTCGAAGATCTTCTGATACAGAAGACCAAATTTCAGTGAACATTTTCGAAGATTTTTCTCGCAAGTAGTACAACTCAGCCACAAGTGAGGCAAAAGAAAATTCGAATAGGGAAAATGGAATGGAATGCTTCGGGAATTGAGATGTAACGTTTCGAAAAATCTATAAATGAAAAGACGGTTTGGACCGTGTTTTACAGTACTTTTTCACGCATTACAGTTCTCATTCTATTTTACAATCATTTTGGCGCCCTTCCTTACAACGACGACTCAATATTCGGTCAATGCGAGAGAAATAAGTTTTCTATTCAACGAACCGCCATGTCGGTAATTGGCGAGCGGTTTCAGCGTTTCGCCGCGGATGGCGCCACGGATCGGAACGAAATATTTATACACGGCAAAGGACAGTCGCGTGAACGGCATATAAATGTCACAGTGATAAAAATACATAGAATCTCGTCGCCGTGGAAAGAAAGAACTTTGCGAAAGCATAATTGCGAATGATTTTTCTGCGTTCCGAATAAACGTCAACATGCATGTGTGTGTGTGTGTGTGTGCGCGGTTACACGGAGTTCTGCTTGAAGTTTTCCTAGAAATTCCTGGGATTCGAAGCGTGTATTCGCTGATACGCGATCGTAACAATTACTTCGCACACAAAGCACCGGCGTCTGCTTGATATTTCTCCGGCACAGGAACGAACGCGTACAGATAACTCAAAAGTAGCAATAAAGAGAACGATCCTAAGAAACGCCCGCGCACACGAATTAGAAAGTAAAGGGGCGAACAAGTTGATTCTGCTTGGTATTATTGCCGCGAACCTACGGTTATTGTACGTGACCTCATCGCCCTCTTCAGCCCGTCCGACTCACCGCCACGCAAATGAACACGCTCGCCCGTTTTACATGTCGTCGCGAAAGAAGATGTAACGTCGCTCGATGTAACTCGCGTTCCTTTCTCGAGAGAGAGAAAGAAATCGGGGGAAAAAGGATCGGCGCGCCTCGATAGTTTTTTGTCTGACACGTCGAATGTCACGCCGGTTTTACAGAAATCGTCCGTGGCGCCACGATGAATTTTCTTTTATTTGATACATATAACGTTGAAATATTATCTGCAATAGATAAGTTACAGTGTATAACCATGCGTGACATGTTAACTGCGACGGGGATCACTGTTTGAATCGACGATGGTAATAATACCAAATTTTAGATATTCACATTTGTTTTGAATTATATAGGGTGTCCCAAAAATGTCTCGCAATCCGGAAACGGCGGGTTCCTCGGATCATTCGAAGCAACTTCTCCCTTTACAAAAATGTTCTCCGAGGCACCGTTAACGAGTTATCAACGAAAAACCGTGGCCAATGAGCGATCGCGCGCGGCTGGCGCTCCGCCCTCGCGTCCACTGGGGAGCCGGCGCGACGCGATACTGGCCGCCAGGGCGGAGCGCCGGGCGCGCTCGCTCTCCGATTGGTCCACGTTTTTCATTAATAACTCGTTAACGGTGCCTCGGAGAGAATTTTTGTAAAGGAAAAAGTTGCTTCGAATGACCCGAGGAACCCGCCACTTTCAGATTGCGAGACATTTTTCAGAGATCCTGTATATATTTCTATCAATTTGGGCGCGCCGATCACCGGTGGCCCTCATGACGTCACCGTCAAGTTAAGCGCCGGTCACCGCTGACCCCCGTGAAATACAACGTGTTAAAGAGCAAAGGAGACCAAGGGGGCGAACAAAAATCATCGGCAATCTTCTTGGCCGTCGTGGAAGACGACTTCTTGAATTACCATCCGCCACGAATATTATCAAGTTCCGACACGGAACTGTAATAATTCCATTTAACCGGGTAGGTTTGCTTGCGCGTGCGAGGCTGCCTGGCAAGAACAATTCGAAACGGAGACGTTAATATATTCGTCGCATGCTTTTGCAACACGGCAGGCCGTCCGGAGGATCTTCTCGATGAAAATTCGACGGCTCTGCAACAATTTAACATACACCGAGGGACGCGCTCGTTTCTCTGCCGATCCGCGAATCTCGTTGCTTTCCTGTCGAGCGGTTGCATCTCTCGGTTCCATCTCGGTTCCACGGACGTTCTTTCGTTGTTCGATCGATCGACGGAATTTCGTCGATTTTGCTCGAGCTGCCTCAGGTTTAGAAGGCGAAACGATAAGTCCAAGTGCGAGTAGAACGCGTCGGCCACTCGCTTCGTTCGAGAGAATTCGCACGGCTGTATCTTTCCGCTTTTCTTTCGCGCGTTTCCTTCGTTTTCTCCATCGGCTTCCTCGGTTTCGTTCACCGATGACCGTTTCAGTCGCCGATGGTATCGGTGCTCGTTCCATTTCCAACTTGTAAATATTTCATACACAGGTAGCTTAGGGCTGCTCGCGTGTTTTCACGCACGTTTATCGCACGCGCGACTTTCGCCGCGTTCGTGCAGCGTTCCGCGTGGAAAAGTATGTACGTATCTGCATATCGAACGAAACGAACGATTGCTGCCGTCCGATCCGACTGCACGTGCACCGTGAGACGGAAAAACGGAAAAGACAGCGCTGGTAGTGTTTCACTTTTTGCCCTGCAACCACGTCTGAGAGACGTGGTCAGGAAATCGGGTCAGAAATGAGTATCGCGTCTGAGAGACGTGGTCAAAAGATCGGACCAGAAATGAACATCACGTCTGAGAGACGTAATCGGAAAATCGGGCCAGAAATGTTTATCACGTCTGAGAGACGTGGTTAAGAATCTGGTCGGAAATGAATAAAAAATCAATTTTTGTAAATTTTTGTCATAGGCTCAGATAAAAAAAGTTGAAAGACAAGAGCTTTTTTATTTTCTAAGCAATAGCAAACCTTAAAAAGAAAAGCTTTCTAATTATGGTGTAATTATGATAAGATCGGTCGCGGTATCGTTTAAGAAAAATTCAAGTCGTTCAGTGCAGTTCTAAAAATGTGTCCGAATATTAACGGATTAATTAATCACTCTACTTACATTTCGTAAGCAGTTCGCGATTGTCACAGCATCGGACGTTTCGCGCCGCCGTGAAAAGATTCGGCGCGTGACCTTGTAGTTCATGGTACACGTTATTGAAGCTTAAATCGACAGGGAAAAGGGTTAACCGCGGAACCTAGCCGGTCGCGATCCGATTGCCGCCCTCTCGCTCCTCGAATCTCGCCGCGATTAACACGCGTCCGATGATGCTTCGAGAACGAACGTACAAACGTACGAAAGAACGTACGAACGGAGAACGCGCGGCTGTTTTGCGTTGCAAAATACGGGAATAAAAATTGTAGAGTTTGAAATTATACTTTCGAGAAATGGCGGAATGCGCGAGCAGGTAGCCGGCGTGCCACCTGGGTGTATTTTCCTTCTCGGAAGATGGTAACGGTGCGCGACCATGGTAGATCGAGCGTGTAACTAATGCCAGTTTCTTCTAGTATAAACTGCATACCGAATGCCCTCGAACTCTCGGCAAAGAAGAACTCTCGCCGCGCCGCGCCGTCCCGTATTCCGTTCTTTCCATCCCCGACGTTCGTCGCACGACGACGGTATAATACCAAATCGAATCGTGGGAGATAACGCGGCGGAATCGTGTCCAGTTCAAACACCGCTAACGCGATACTTGTGTTTCGATTCGATCGACAACTGGCCGAAACGAAGCGAGCCATCTGTTGCCACGAATTCGTCGTGTATCTATGTATATCGTGAGTCCTCGAGTTTCGCCGGACAGCTTCGCGTTATCTTTATCTGCCGAGGGTAGCGCGATACGGAGAGCTGTTCCGAACCGATCCGAGCCGAACCGAACCGAATCGAACCGAACCGAACCGAACCGAATCGAATCGAATCGAATCGAATCGAATCGAATCGAATCGAATCGAACCGAACCGAACCGAACCGAATCGGACCGAACCGAACCGAATCGAATCGAACCGAACCGAACCGAACCGAACCGAATCGAACCGAACCAAATCGAACCGAACCGAACCGAATCGAACCGAATTGAACCGAATCGAACCGAGCCGCTCGCCCGCGCGTCTCCGTTTCGTCGGACAGCTTCGCATTATCTTTATTTGCCGAGGGTGGCGCGATACAGGGACCTGTTCCGAACCGATCCGAATCGAACCGACTCGAACCGAGCCGCTCGCCCGCGCGCCTCGCGTTTGCCGGACCGAAAACGGAGCGAGGCACCGCCGAAGTTGCGCCTCGTTTTCGTCCAACTCGGAATACGTTTATCGTATCTTCTCTCCTAGGTACATAGGATAATAATACGGTGAACCGGTATGAATATTCATCGGAACTGCCGCGGAACAACAACTGCATTAATCGCGGCCCGCGCGCGTCCCGTCGAAACGACGATGCCGGGTGTCGTCCCCCGAACAACGTTCCCTCGTTATCCGTCGCGCGCATTTAAGAATCTTATCCGGACGATCGTTTAATTTCCTGCCGATCCATCCGTATTATCCATCGCGGAACCGCGCCGGTTAACGAAACGCGACGGAGAACGCGAAGACGACCTAAACCGGGGGTGTCAAACTCGCGGCCCGAGATGAACATTTTTGACGTCAAGTATCAGGACGTAAACAATAATTTAACTTTATATACGTTTATTACAATGTACTGGTCGGAATAAAATCGATTTTTTTTTCTTTTTTTAGCGGCCCACCTAAAGTTAAGCATTGTCCCAAGCAACGGCCGACCGACGGAACCGCCGTCGAAACGGCTCGCGGATGGATCGATGTACGCGCTCGCAATCGCGATGAAGCATCGCGGATGGACGGATCCCGTGCCGCGGGATTCGAAACGGGATATACGCCGATTGCTCGTCCGAACGCGGCCGGGTCCGCGGAAAGCCGACGAGACCGGGGAACGGTCGAAAGGAACGAAAAAGAATGAGGGGGGGAGAAGGTGGGAGGTCCGCGGAACCGCGGGTCTCCCGTGTCCGACGCGGACAGGTATTTATGACGAAAAGGGTACCGCGATCTGATTCTGTCACTAACGCAACGGTGCCGCGGACACTCTGCTCTCCGATTGGTCCCGGTGATCTGTGACGTCACCGCCGCCGGCCTATGTATAAGGTGAAGCACGCGGAGCGCCAGTTCATCGTTGTCCGTCACGTCGAGAAGGTCTTACCCTTTGAACCGGCCGAACGCGTCCCGTTCCGTGAAGTCCGGAAGAACAGACGTCGGACTTCTTCGTTCCGAGGAGACTGCGATCCGACCGGAAGTCGTCGAGCCGACGACGACGACGACCCGCTTCTTCGAAAGTCGCCCGCTTGTCGCACGTCTACCACTCGAGAAAGGTAGGAGCCAATCATCGCACACGCCTTCTTTCTTTTTCCTTTTTTTCTTTCTCCTCCTTCGTTTTTAAGCAGCGACCGTTCGTCGGTGGAAGCCGCCGAGATCGCGCCGATTTGTTCCGTCGGCTCGCAATCGCGATGAATGGCGATGGCATAAGCAATTTAGGTGACGATTTCGAGCGCGTTAGATTGAGACGAGCGTAATTTCGAACAATGTGGTCGCGATTCGCGAAACTCGCGAACGCGAGGAAAACGGTCACCACCCGGTATCGTTCTTCCGAATCGAATCGGCGTTCGACGTTCGAGCGACTGCGCGCTCGCGCATGCTCGACCCTTTTTCATTTTCTCGCAGATTTTTGTCTTCGGATTGTAGTATTTTGAAGCGTTATCGAGCGTTTTAGAGCGTTCTGAAGAGTTTCGATGCGTTTGCGAGCGTTTTCGATGCGTTTTGAAGCGTTTGCAAGCATTTTTAAGTGTTTCGAAGCGTTTCGGAGCGTTTCGATGCGTTCCGAAGCGTTTGCAAGCATTTTGAAACGTTTAGAAGTATTTCGAAGCGTTTGCAAACATTTCAAAGCGTTTCGGAGCATTTCGAAGCGTTTCGGTGCGTTTTCAAGCATTTCCAAGCATTCTCATGCATTTCGAAGCGTTTTCAAGCATTTCGAAATATTTCCAAGCATTTCGAAGCATATCAGGGTGTTTCGAAGCGTTTCAGAGCGTTTCGAAACGTTTCCAAGCATTTTGAAGCACTTTCAAGGATTTCGAAGCGTTTCCAAGCATTTCGAAACATTTCCAAGCATTTTGAAGCGTTCCCAAGTATTTCGAAGCGTTTTCAATTATTTCGATGGGTTTGCATGCCTCTCGAAGCGTTTGCAAGCGTTTCGAATCATTTTGAAGCGATTTCAAGCATTTCGAAGCATTTCGCAGCGTTTCCAAGCGTTTCCAAGCCTTCCGCCGCGTTTCCAAGCATTTTGAAGCGTTTTCAATTATTTCGATGCGTCTGCATGCCTCTCGAAGCGTTCGCAAGCGTTTCCAAGCATTTATTAGAAGCATTGCGAAGCGTTCGCAAGCGTTCCCAAGCGTTCCCGAGCGAACTTTCGTAAGTCACAACGTACACCGCTCGCTCGCTCGCTCGCGTATCCGTCCTTGAGGACCAACCGCGGCGCACACTTTTCTCTCGGCAAGGCGCACACAACGGGGCAGGCACGTTCGTGCATGTGTCCCGCGGATTTTCCACAAAAGGTAAAGTTCCTTCGAGACAATAGGTATCTCGCCGGGTTGCGCATTATCGGCGCACAATACGCGCACACGTCGTCCTGTGCGCGCCGTGAAAACGGCTCTCGCCTCGGACGCGACCGTGAACGAGAAAGGTTTTATTAACGGGACAGGGTCGCGGCGAAGGGAAAAACCGAAACCCTCTTCTAACGCGTCCAGCGTGTATCTGGTGCCGCGCGGCGTCGCGCGGAAACTGTCCGCCGGGACAAGCATAACATTGACCGGGGCGCTGCGGCAAAGCGAAGGCGCGAATGTACAAACAGTTCTGAGGGTTCCGGGCTCGGAAACGCGGGCACCGAACTTGGAAAAATATTCTTCGGTGCGACGGGTCAAAGGGCGACTCCGGCCCGGTTTTCGTTGCCGCGGCCGTAGCGCCGCGCGTTTAATTTTCCTCGGACGGAGCCGAGGCGGCCGACCACCTCCGGGGAGAACGTAAACGTTCCGCCTCGAATTGCGAATGTGTCCGCCGGGATAATTGAACGCGCCCGCTTCGTGCACCCGCTTCGCGCTCGCCGGCCCTTCTTTCGCCGGGCGAGCGGTCGCCGAGGCGAAACGCGCGCGCGGAATAGAACAGGCCGCCGGCCGTTTCCGCGACGGATTGCGCGACGGTTTCGGATTCTCGGCGAATTTTCCGGTCAGTCGATGCGACGGTGATCGCGTCGCGTCGCGGAGCATCGTGCAGTTTCGTCGCGAGCTTTGCACTTTGCTTTCTAGGATGAGAAGACGCTTTTTCGCGAAACGCTCGGAGATTGGACGCGCGCGGCGTGCGCGAGTTTTCAATCACGCGGGTTCAGAGGGCGGCCGAGAGAGCCCCGCGCAGGAATATTCCTCCGTTTGCAATTACGAATGATTTGTCCGCGTGCAAAGATGCGGCGGCCGCGACGCACGCCGCGCGGATATTGCGTTCAGCGTCGGCGGAACGGGGACCGTTAAAGGGAGCCGCGCCGCGGCGCGGCCGGATCGTTGCATCTTGATTTCCTAGATAATCAGTCGACCGTTCCCTTCCGTTTCTCCTTTACTCTTTCGTCTTCCCTGCGGCTCGTTTAATCATTTCGCCGCGTCGCTTTCCCGTCCGCCGGCCGCCGCCGCCTTTGTCTTCGGGCGACGGCGAGGAGAAACAACGCGAAACAGCGCGTTTCAGAGAACCGATTGCTCCTTCGTTTTGTGTATTTCTCGTCGCGGATGCGTCAGGCGGCACGGTGATTTCTCCCAGAAATGCCAGATCTCGGGTTTCTGGGAATTTCGCTGTGCTGGTTCGACGCTTATGCGATTTATTGCTACGCCGGATGCGGCGCGCGTTGCGAATTCTCGAAAGGCGATGTAAAATGGTCCGTTTGAGTGTGGGTCAGGTGAGAAAAGCCGTGGGGCTACGAGGTATAGTAATTTTTCCCTAATTCGCGCTCGGATTGCGCACAAAAATTGAGAATTTGAGGAGAAGAGCCGCGAGGCTCGAATAATCGGATCTCTTGTTCCCAGATTGTCCATTTTTGTGGACGATCTAAGCGCCAATTAGGGAGAATTGACTGTACTAGGTATGTGACCGTCGAATCTTCGCATGTGGCCTCTAAATTGCCTTCGAATCGTGTCATAGGACCTCTGAATTGCTTTGAATCGTGTCATATGTCCTCCGAATTGCCTTCGAGTCACATGACTTCTAAATTGTCTTCGAATCGTGTAATAGGACCTCCCAATTGCTTTGAATCGTGTCATATGCTGTAAGTCTCCCCATGCTTGGAATAAATTCTATAATAATAAAATTGCCTTCGAATTGTGTAGCATATGACCTCCATACTGCCTTTGAATCGAGTCATGTGGCCTCCAAATAGCTTCGAATGACATCGTGTCTCCTCCCAATTGCCCTTCAATCGTGTCATACGACCTCCGAATTGCATCGAATCGTGTCACATGACCTCCGAATCGCCTTTAAATCGTATCATATGACCTCCGAACAGCTTCGAAATCCTGTCGTACGACCTCCGAATCGCCTTCGAATCGCGTCAAGTGGCCCCGGAATTGCCTCCGAATCGTGTCAAGTCGCCCGCGAATCGTCTTCGAATCGTTGGCAACAAAATTAGAACTAAAAAAAGGAAGTTAAGTCACCGTTTTCATTCCAGCACCGCTCTATATTCGCATTAAAATAAACCGGCGCACGCTGGCCGCCTGCCTTCTTTCACGGGCTGCGCCGAGTTTCTATAAAAACGAGCCGCGAATCTCAAAGAATCGCGACTCCTCGGTATTCGCCGGTTTCAAACCCGACCTCCCCGAACATTTCTGCCAGAAATTACCGTAGATGGTATCGCGTCCGGACCGTTGTATCATCGTCGTCGTCGTCGTCGACCCACGGACGTTCTTAATTAAAAGTTTCGCGTCGCAATTAGCCGCGGACCCGCGACTGCAACGATCGAATCAATTGCAACGGTGCAACCTAACCGAGCTTATTCCCAGCGACGCTCGTGAGATATGCGACCGAAATCGAACTTCTTATCTGCGTCGAGAATCCGACGTGGGACGCGAGGAAATTCTTCGCCCGGATCGCCCGACACCGTCGCACCGCGTCCGTCTGACACATGCTAGCTTATACTACTGATTTCGCTCGCGGCCCGCGATCGCTTTAGCTCGCAGTGAAAGATGCCTGCGAGCGTACGCGACGCGTCCACTTGTTGGATCGCGTTTTTATTTGGTCGAACGAGTCTCCCGGCCGGTCTCGCAGACGACGCGATCTCATACCCCGCTCGTCGACGTTGCTGTTATCGTCGTCGTCGTCGTCCCGGACAAGCAACGAATTTTCCCATTGCGAGTTAACCGGCGGCTAATCCCCTCGTAATTGGATACTTCTCTGTTATTCCACGAACTTGATCGAGCTCCTTGCTCGCTGGGGAACATCCTAAACGAGCTCGCTGCTCGAGACGTCGACGTCGAGGTCGACGTCGGCGCGCGATTGCGATCTTTATAATTGTTTCGAGAACGATCTATTACCGGCTCGGCGGTTCCTTGGCGGGGCAGCCGGAGATCGCGGGATTCGCGAATCCAATTCGCGTTAACGCGTTAAACGCGGAGCCGATTTCGCCGCGGGTTCTCTCCGTCGAGGCGGCTGGCGTTATTTTTTAACCTAAACGCGGATGCCGTCTAAGCGACGTTCGGATCGCTGTCAGTGTCTTCGAACTCGCGTCGACCGAGACAAAAGTACGATAATAATAATAATATACTTTCTAATTATTGAGTATCTTGTCTTCCCGAATTGTCCATTTCTTGCGCGCAATCCGAGCGCGAATTCGGGAGAAATTACATGTACATCGTGTCGGTCGAAGAGGACCGACAACCGGCCAAACGGAAGGTCCACTGTGCGCTTTAACGTGTTGGCCGATCTGTGCCGGGTGCCCTCGCGCGGTACGGCGTACGCTCGTGCAAATAATTTCGAACCGTCCCGAGATAATACGTAGGAGTCCCTTCCGGCGTGCCAGCGGGTCCGTCGCCGGGGTATCCATTCACGATGATTACGCGGGAGGTACATCGCGGTAACCTTTCCGGGATTATCGAGTAACAGGAAGAAATAGGTGAAACGCAACGGGAAATCCGGGAACGGGAATTCGTTCCGATTTACTTGGCGGACGCGCATTCAAAGCCGTCTCATTTTCATGCTCGTATTCCTAGTAATATTTTCGAGATTACGCGGCGTACGGCCGCTCGTTCCGATCGCGGCGGATGAAACGCGGCAAGCATTTCCGCGAACG